ACTCTCAAACCTTCACTATCGCGGCAGGTTTACTATTAGACTATCTTTATCTTTAATAGAAAATATTTGATATGTAAAGCCAAATGACGGTTGAGTCAATTAGAGAATTAGAGCTGAGTTCAGAAGATCTTTCAAAGCTACCGATGAAGGGCAATATGTCAAGATTGCACGTAAGAAGAAAATGAAAAGATTATTATTATTATTATTATTATTATTTATACTATTATCATAGTGTGAAACATAACAAACAAAAGACTACAAAAAATTAGTGCGCAATTGAGATTCAATCTGAGCCCCTATTTCTTTAGTTATAGCAAAGTTAAGTCTAGTAAAAATGTGTGCAGTCGCCCAAGCCCCCGCATCCTGAGACATGAAAAATTTCTAGATCCGTTTCAGTAAAGTCACGACATCTGTATCCAACTAACCCATCGAAGAAAAATAAAAGGGCAAGAAACAGTAACCAGCCGCCATGCGCAAGTCCCGATACTTGACACACTTTCGCTGAGCAGCAACAACAACAACTCGGCCAGACACAAAAAAGTCATCCCAGTCTGAGTAGGTGAAAATCTAGTCAGATCGACACACACATCTCGCCCTAGTCCCAGGAATAAAGCAGCAAATCCGGAGGACGAAGAGATCCATCATGCCCATCAACCTAACCGATATCAACCTCCCTACCGACAAAAATCCCAGACCTGTAACAGATGTCCAGTAAGGTGTCATGAACGAGGTTATGTCGATGCTTAATGCCCACAGTACCAGCACATGATACAACATGATCCCCTATAACATCACCATGAAAGACCTGGGAACAAGCATGACATGATTTAGATATAAAAAACAACGGGACACACATTCGATAACTAAGCACACTATGATATGTCCTCTCATTCATAGTCTGCCCCAACCCAGCAATAGGAACAACAAGCAACCAATCGGAAGAGTGTGCAGTCTGCTGAGACTTCCACAAAACTACCGAACTCGTAGTCAACGAGAAAACAAAATTTGAAGTAGCTGCAACCTTCGCAAAATATATGTTTGTCAATTTCTTCATAAGTTTTTAGGGAAAAAACTCCACTAGTTTCACGTAAGAGATTAGAACCTGTAAACTCATTAAAGGTGCATAGGGCGTCATCAAAAGCAGGGCCAGGAGATAGGATACCTAAAAGCAGGGTCAGGAATCACTGGAATTACTTAAAAAGTTCACATTTGCTAATAAAATTAATTTATTCCATCCATAGTCACTTAAATTAGGCCAATAGTTCAAGTTTGGTCACTCTCCGTTAATCTCCGTTAAAATTTTCTCACATAGCAGTCAACTCTAATAGTAGATCATTAAATGAGTGACGTGGCAATTAAAAAATATTAACAAATAATATTTTACATCTCCACCTTATTATCAAAATTATTAAAAACTAATAAATAAAACCTAATTATCTAATGAATCATCCCTACCCACCCCTCACCGTTCTTCCCCCTACCTCTCTCCGATCACTCCTAGTTGCAACCCACCATCGTCTTCAATCTCAACCGAGTTTCTTCTTCTCCCACCCATCGTCGTTGAGTTGCCGGATCCAAATTCGATAGGGCTTTTCCACGACCTCAGCCCGGCAGGGCAATTACTTAGCAGATGGAATTTCTTGGAAATCGAGTAGCGAGGTGCTCCGGACGAAGGGGTCCGATTGCCACACATGTAGCCTTTCGTGCCCGTGACGGAGCATTGCGTCTTCCATCCTCGGTTGCCCCGGCAAGGGACAGCGAAAACAGGGGAATGAGACGACGCCTCGTGTAGCTTTAGGAGCGGCGAGGTTGAGGTGGCGGTAGCTCCCTGCTGAAGCAAATTACTCATAGTTCCAGTACTCGACATTATTGGAACATCAAAATTGTTTCTTGGAAAATTTTCAAACGAATTGAAGGAAATCAATTCTTTCTAAAGAACTCGAGAATCCAAACAGAACAGTTACAAAGGCCGAAAATAAAAAAAAATTATTTTTTTATTTTTTAATTGTCACGTTACTCATTTAAAGGTCAACTATTAGAGTTGACTGCGACATCATAATAATATAACGGAGACTAACGAAGAGTGACCAAAGTTGAACTGTTAAACTAATTTAAATGACTACGGATGAAATAAATTAATTTTAGTGGCAAACTTGAACTTTTTAAGTAATTCCAGTGACCAAACTTGCCATTTACTCGAATTATAGTTATCTGATTTATTTCTTTCTTCTTTTGATTTCTATCAAATGATCCAAAGCATAATCCCAAACACGAAGAATAAAAAAAAATTCTTGCTTTTTATGTTCTTAATATTTTTATCAATTCTTTATCTTTAATATTTAACTATCAAATAAAAAATAGAATTGATAAATTTTTAAATAAAATATTAAGACATTAGCGAGAGGCATTGAAACCCTTGGTACAAACAACTCGTACAACAAATTAGCAATATAATGCTTTATTACAGTCATCTATCTCTCTCAATTAAAAAAAGATAATTTCTTTATTAAATTATTATAAATCTTTAAGAGCATAAAAAGCAATTAAAAGTTATAATATGCTTAGAAAGTTTTCTAATTTTTATATTAGATAAAACTTGTGGATAGACACATTTAAATCATGACCTTTGATTCAGACCTACCACTTAACCAAAATAGGTTGAATCAAGTACCTTTGGTTTACTCCTCTTCTAGCCCAAGTTCGTTATTATTATTATTTTTCATTACGATTTTTTTTCTTCCCAAAACAAAAAGATCCTCGAACAATTTACCATCTTCTTCCACAGATCGCCGGGGACAGGCCAACACCGGTCACCGGCCAACGGTCGCCTATCGAGTTTTGGACTGTTTCCTTGGGATTTTAAACCAATATCAATTCAACTTTGTTCTATTTCTCCTACGATCTGGCTGTATCTTGATATCATCATCCCATCGCCCTTGGAGTTCTAGTCGGTGCGATGGCGGATCCCGCGCCACGGTAGGAATGATGATGGTGATTAATTGTCGGGCCACGATGATGCTGTGGTAGTGATTTGGATTGACGGTGGCCAGGATTTGTAAGAATTGGTTTGCTCCTAAAATATTTGCTTTCAGTATATGGTCTCTGTACAACACATATATATGTTGGAGCAAAGACGGATCACAACTTTCCTTTTCCAAGATCATGAATTTGATCCACCAAATTCCAACAATATATATTGTCCACGAGTTTACCTTGCTCTTATTATGAGGAAGTATAATGGCGGTCAATGTGTACTGTGCATTAATTATTAGGCAAGATTATTAATTTATTACTGTAGGTAACTAATTCAGTATCTTGATGGTGATGGCGGCCGGCCAACGACAACGGCGGTGATACTGGCGCTGATATGGATGCACGGAAGGTTTTTTAATTTTTATATTAGATAAAACCTGTGGAAATATAGTTTTGAATGTTTTAAAAAAATTTGGGTACCAAAAAATAATTAAAAGTTTGGGTTGGATGGAAAAGTAGACGGACGCACATTTTGTCGACTTTAATGGTACCCAACGCCCTATTCAAACTTAAGTGGTATGCCTACCCCAATTCTCAAACTTAAGTGGTACCCGAGATATTTTACCCTAGCGGGTGGGTAGCGAGTGAGTCATTTCCTTCAAAATCACATGATATATTAAGTCGTTAATGCATATTCTAAATTAAAACACTATTATTTCTTATATCAAAACTTCAATCGTGATTGATTCAATTAAATTTCAATTATCTTGTATAAAGTTTGGTTGATTTACAATATACAAATCGATCATTTTAAAATATGATAGCTATCAACAAAATATTTTGTGTTCGCATATGAGATAATTTGTGTTAGATTATCTAGTAAAGTATGTTTAATAGCTCTCAATTTTATTGATTCGTAGTATTGATATTCAATTAGTTTAATACAAACTTTTATGACTCATAATTGTCTAATTATTTAAAAATAATTTGACCCACCAAAACTGCCAAGCTCACCCACCATCTGCCATCACCAACCCTAGGACTGGGAAATTAGACCAGACCGTTAGAAAAACCGTGGTCCAAACCGTTAGAAAAAATAATTGGACTGGACCGAACCGTTTAAGTATGGTCTGGTTTGGTCCATGGTCCGTATAATTTTATGTTTTGATTTCTTGGTCTGGTCTGGTCTAGACCGCGGTTTACCGGACCAAACCGTGGACCCAACTGACTTGTCAATACGTGTTAAAAGCCTATTCGACCAGTACTCTCCCAACTCCCACAACGACACCCAAGTCTCAATCCTAGTTTTGTGAATCTCGTCCCTCCTTCATTCACAACCACATTTAACCAGAGAGTAGAGATAATTGTGTCTCCATATGACATTATGTTAATGTTTATGACGTTATGGTGCAAGTTGGGATGCTTTTATTTTGTATATTTGTTATGTACTAAGATTTAGGGTATCAAAATTATTCATGCATGTTAGGATTAATGTGTTAAGGCAAATAACAATTATTTTTCTTGGTTATTGGTTCAATTTTTTTGTGTGGTTGACTAAACAAATTATTCATTTTTCGTTGAGTGTGGTCTATCTGGACCAGACCAGACCGAACTCGACCGCACAGGTGTTGTCTGGACCGGATCGTATAGTTTATAGTCTGGTCTGTGATTTATACTTCAGTCTCTCGATCTGGACCATAGACCATATATATGGTCTGGTCTGGACCAGACCGCATCGTTTCACAACCCAACCCACCCACAAGGATACAAATGAGTGGGTGTGAGTCATTTTTCCGACCAAACCCATCCATTGCCCATCCCTAGCTATTAGTGTTAGTGGTCTTTCTGGTACGCTAGCTACTCTATGCATATCTAGTGTCCACCCGTTCCCCTCCTTTGCCGGTTCTTTTTGTCTCCTCCATCCCCAAACCACGCCAAAACTCCCCCCTCCACGTATTCTTTCTTTCACCTTCTCCATTCTGCTTTCTCTCTCCCTCAAAACACAAACAACTTAAACTAAACACACCATGGAAACGCCTTCCTTTACCTACATATCCTCAGGCGATGATGAGATCCTCTGCTGCATAGAAGCCGATGATGACCAACAACAACAAGGAGAAGAAGAAGATTCCTTGCTCTTGCTTTCCCTCGCCCCTCCTGGTCAACAACACATCAGTAGAAGGAGCCACCATTTCACTAAAACCAATGATCACCACATATTCAGCAACCCTACCACCAATGAAACTAGTTTTCCTGGTGGTGGTGTAACAGTAGCTTTGCATATTAGCCTTCCTCCATCAACCACCACCACCCCAAACCCTAACCCTAATAACGCCTCTCCATCTGAATCTCCTCTTGCACATGAGGAAGTACAGTACTGGATCCCTTCCCCTTCCCAAATCCTCGTCGGCCCAACTCAATTCTCCTGTCCCGTCTGCTCCAAGTCCTTCAACCGTTACAACAACATGCAGGTTTTGCTTCATTCATTCCCTCTCCTCCATCATCACTTCCTCTCTTTTTGGTTTCAGCCTTCTTCTTATTATAATAATGTTGTTGTTTTAGATGCATATGTGGGGGCATGGATCTCAGTACCGAAAGGGCCCCGATTCGCTTCGAGGAACGAAGCCGGCTTCCTCGATGCTTCGTCTGCCGTGCTACTGCTGCGCCGAGGGGTGCAGGAACAACATCGACCACCCGAGGTCGCGGCCGTTGAAGGACTTCCGGACCCTGCAGACGCACTACAAGAGGAAGCACGGCGTCAAGCCCTTCGGGTGCAGGAAGTGCGGCAAGAGCTTCGCGGTGAGAGGCGACTGGAGGACCCACGAGAAGAACTGCGGGAAGCTCTGGTTCTGCATCTGTGGGTCGGATTTCAAGCACAAGAGGTCATTGAAGGACCACGTGCGTGCTTTTGGGGACGGCCACTCTCCGCATACCGTGGAGCCCTATGTGGAGAATGAAGTCGAAGATGATGACGATGACGAAGAAGATTACAGTAATGATGATGACGAAGAAGATTACAGTTATCCACGTTTGAGCAATAAAAATGGTGAGGTGACACGTCATCATCATATTAATCGTGGTCCGTCCCTCTACTAAGTTAGTTGCTAATTGCTGTGATTAATATTATGATGATGATGATGATGATTATATAGGAGTATCCAAAGGGCATTGTTGTAGTTTATGGGATTGGGAGGAGTGTGTATTTTTGTTTGGTATTTAAGATGAGAGGGTGGGAGGAGATGGAGATGGAGATGAGGGCAAACAGTATAGTGAAATGCTGGAAAGGGGGATAGGTCCCTGGATGCAGTTATTGCTACCTCTTGCAAGTGCTAGTTCTTTCTGAATTGAAAGGTAAAAAAGACAAGACCTCTTTTTAGGTATATACTTTTTTTTACCTCTCCTCCTTTTGCTTTGCATTTAACGTACGGGAAATAATAATAACTGATCGAGAGGTAAGTTAAGTGAAGTGAAGTGAAGTGAAGTGAGTGAGAGCTAGCATAGTATAGATAAGCAGAGCAGATCAGCAGACCATGCAGCAGAACACATACAGTAGCAGCGTCACAGATTCTACTGTTCCCCTCTCTCTCTCTCTCTCTCTCTTCCCTTTTACCCTTTTCTCAGTTATCTCACAGAGCTTCGACTACCACTGGAACACTTTGATCATTCAAGCCTCTCTACTGGCAGTGAAACGAAAGAGAGAGAGAGGAAAGGTAGAAAAAAAAGGGGATGGTTGTAGTAAATGGACCACTTCATTTTTTTGTTTACTGTTTTTGGGGTTTCACCCAAAGGGAAAATGCAACTTTGCCTTTCCAGACTAACTACAAAGAGAGATACTGCCGCCACCACTTTCCTGAGCCCTAAAGACATATAACTTGCTGTCATTGATCTCTGTTTAGTCTTTGTCTTTGTAACAACGTGTGTCATGATTGTCTATTGATTGTGTCTCATCTAATAACCTGTCTTTTCTCATCTACATTACTACATATAAAGCTAGACTTCATTCCATCTTCATTATATATTACATCACATCCCTTTATTCTGATAGGTTAAGTAATTTTTTGACGCATTCTGGAAAGTTTGCAGGCTGAGTTTTGGGCCCTGACCCCATTTGACCGCCCACCTTTATATATGCTTTGAAATGACAAACTTCAAATCTTTGAGCTTTGAATGCTGTCCCTGGGTTATAATTACTCGAACCTGCTATCTACTTTCTGCCTGGAAACAACTTTCACCCTAGAATCCAATGTGATCGATCCTTTGATCAAGCCCTTGATTTGTTTATACTGGTTCGGTAGGGGCTGCACTTTGTATGCATGGCCATTGAATCATTTCCTCATAATCTCAGACGTAATTAAGTTTCGTTTTTTTTTTACTAGAAAATTAGCCCGCGCTTTGCGGCGGGTATTAATGAATATCTGTTTGTTCTACATGAAAGTGAATTAAATAAAATAAAATTTTAATTGCAGTTTGATTTCCATCATCGAAATTGGCACTTTTTCATTTTCATTTTATAAGATCCTCAAAGAATAAAATGTAATTTTTTCTTCATGTAGGAATAGGAGACTTTTGTGAAGGATTTACCATTTATGTATACTATTTGATGTATTGGCAGCAATTGAAATAAGTTAGAATGAATAGTTTTAGATGTAGAAAAACATACATAAACATACTCATAAAATCAAAATTAAAAATATCATCAAAATGTCCCCACCGTATCTTCTTATAATGTAAGTGTAGCATAGTTACCCAAGTTTTAAATTTTAATATAGTTCATAAAAAATGTATACAATTTTCAATAAGATACCATTGTAATATTATAAACACTAAAAGATTATCAATTATTCTTCCCAAGGAGAGCTCTAGGATGGTTATTTATCAAGAAGATTATTAGAATTATTAAGCCGCAAGCATCCAAAAATAACCAAAATTGTAATTCACTGTTCATTACGAAATAATCGCACTCCGAACTGTTCACAAAAGGGCTGAATGATTCGCTGCGGTATAATTCACGTGAGCCCATGTGTACATATGTTGGGCTGGCCAAACGTGGCTGTTGTTGGGATTTTTGGTTTGTAAGATTCATGAGCTCACAAAAGAACAGCTACACTTGATCGGTGGCCCTCCTTAAAAAAAAAAAGGAAAAGAAAGGGTCCCACTTCGCAAACCTTCTTCCTTCTCTCCCCTCACGAGTCATGACTGTCTTTCAAATTCACCAGCTCGCATCTCCGAAATCACTGAACAGACGCCGACGGGAGACGGTGGCGAGACAAATCTACGAAATCGAAGCAAGGGCTGTATTTTCCGCAAAATCGAAGGCGTCCCTGAACTGACTGAACGGCACGTCGGTGGTAGACGGTGGCGACGACAGATTTTCCATCTCCGAACCCACTGAACGAACGCCCACGATCGAAGCTTGATTTCTCTCTCTCTCACTCTCACCTCCGTGAACCCACTGAACGGCACGCCGGCGGGAGACTTGCGACACCAGATTTTCCCTGAAAATCCCATTTCTTCTTTCCGAAGAACTTCCTCCTTTCTTCAGGAAATCAATATCTTCTTCTCTGGGAAATCAAAACTAGGGATCGCAGGCTTCGTATACAAATCTGGTACTGAGCTTAGCCCAATGATGACATCGAATTCCTAGAGTGCCGGCACCTAGACCAGAGCCTCCGATTTCCCTTTAAAAGACAAACATTCATAGAACAAACCCTCAAATTTCCCTTAATCCTAACAGATCCTCAAATTTTCCTTTATCCAATACAATGAGGAAGAATAGAAAGCCTCATCATCCAGGCTAAGGCCATCTCTCAATCCCTCGCTACCGCCAAAAGCAAAAAAAGATTCAAGTTTTAAGGGTGCTTCTGCTTCATAATTGAGGAAGAGAGTTTAGCGACTCTTATTTGCCCGTTTGGTATATTATATTTATATATGTGTGCTTGATAATTGAGGGACGAGAGTTGAGAGGCAGAGGAAAAGGAAGGGGAAACATGGTGGCGACACCTGTTCCTATTTGTGCCCCATCTTAACCCAAGTGTCCAACATGCATATTATTAGACTTGGAGTAATAATAAAAGGGAAGAAAAGAAATATATAATAATTATTGGAATGTGGATATAATGGTCTCTCTCTTCAACTTCAGCTATTAACACATTAGCCTAGCTTTTAAAACCTCTGATTTTCTTGCATACAACTTCTCCATCAGCAAGTGCTTAGAGAACTTATCTGAAGAAAAACTAAACTAATAAGCAATTTGATTTTCTTGCATTGCTATTTTGCTTTGAGTAGCAATTGTCTCCATCTACTAATCTTATAAACAAATCCATTTCTTATCATTGTATTGGTCAATTATTGGCTAATTAGATTTTAGTCGGATATTCCTAAAGGAACTTCAAATTGTCCAACCACATTTAATTAATGACTTATACCCGGATCAAAATGTTTTTTTAGGAGGACATTAGCGTATGTTAAATTATTAAATCAATTAGTTTGTAATACACAAGACGTATTTGGCAATTCCTTTTAGTTTCACAGTAATACATGTAAGCCAATGTTGACATTTCCATTCAATTCAAGTTAAGATTTAAGAATTACAAAATAATTGCGTTCTCTTAATTTCTTTTATGAATATGCGTTTTCTTAAGTTTATGGTTGGAAGAACGTAACTCGACTGAAAGGAGAGATCTAAGTTTAATAGGGCTGAAAGCGTTGTCAATCATAACAGAAAGAGGTTGATCTACAAAAAAAAGCTACCAATTTATTATTGAAAAATACTATAGTTATCCAAAATAAATATGAGTTGAGCAAGAGCCCTATAATGGGTGACTTATCAATAAGTGCCTGAGAGCATTTTTAATATTTTGATGGAATCCCTATATCAAGTAAGAGAGACATAGCTCCAACTAAAAATCAAATTGAGTTTACAACAACTTTTTCAATCTCATTTGTTAACAAATTCCTGTCCAAGTCTCTTCCAGTAATTAAGAGGAATGAAATATTCAATATTCAGATTATCTTATATATACTTTACATATTATTTTAATAATTATAATTTTAATAGTTATAAATAAATTGGATTGGTTTGTGAATCCATTTCAGTTTAATGATTAGATGTGGAAATGAAGTTGTAAGTAGTTTCACTATATGTGCTAATTAGGAAGCTTTGGATATGAGATTAAAAAAATATATTGATCTATTACATGTATAATAATTATTCCTTATCTATCAATTAGTTAAACATATTACGTAATTATTCTATAATATTAAGACCCATTGTAAAGGTTATATAGGTATCTCACCCAAACTAATTTGTGAATTATTTGATTTTAATTAAATTTTAAATGAGTTGACGAAGTCTTAAATATTTTAATTTCTTATCGCTGCGAAGCGCGGGCCAAAAAACTAGTAGTAGATGAAAAACAAAGTGCTAAACAGTTAACATGCATGCTTACAGTATAATATCGTGATAGATTGTATTTGGAGTTATAGATAGTTATTGTGGAAGGTGATTTTGAGGTGGTGATTCAACCGTTTTATCAAAACTTATTGGTGGATTCACTTGGAGGGCCTTGATTTCGGAAATGTAGTCACTTAGTTGCTTTTATGTTTGGTTGTATAGATTTTGGGTGCTACCGAGTGCCGCAAACATGGTGCCCTTCGAGTGGCATGTAAAGCCCTATTGTTATCTCATCTAGAATTAGGTTCTTTTGATTTTTTAGGATAACTTCATTGACTTCCTAATGAAAACTTTCTTTATCTAAACTTTTTCTTTCTATTTTTTATTTCTTGGAAAGATTTAATATAGGATTGCACAATCATCCATGCAAAAATGTAGCGAAAGCTAAAAGAAAAGACATTCTTTTCGTGCATAAGATAATAACAAATGTGCTACATGTTCAAATTTTCTCTAATAACTTAATAGTTCACAAAATTAGTGTTTATATATAAACATGAAAAAAGTATTTATTAAGTAAGACTTCGACTCTTCACTGTTTAAGATAAATGCATGCATGTTACAAAATACGCACTTGAAATTTGATAATATACGAAATTCT